AGATATTATGTAAGAGTCATGAAATAGTTGGCACCTTTAGCGTAGTGTTTTGATGACAATTGTCACTCGTCAGTCGACAGAACTGGCTCTTGCTATCGTAGTTTACTTAACTTCAATTTAACTCAGGTTACGTCATTGAATTCAGCTATCGGAAGCTCTGTCGCAATTCTTCATCACCCATATTACTTTACAACTTACAGCATTGTCAATGTTAAAAACCTTTTTTTGGTTGTATGTTTGTTTGTTGTCTGAGGATATTACTGTGAGAGTTTCAAAATCAAAACAGTGACATCGATCGTCAATGTCCTTATAGAGATTTTGATTGACGGTTGTTTTCAATCTACTGGCAGGTCATATTAACTAGTGAAGTACACGAAAGGAGAGGAAAATGATGCAGTTTGGTGCAAGCGCAATTCAGACTGTTGTATGAGTTATTATAAGGACGTTTTGACTTAACCACTGATGATAATAAACATGTTTGCCATAAAAAAAATCGGCAACCACAATAATGACGTCGACTTATAGTACAGACTAATTAAGGCCGTGGTGAATCAACTAATGTTATGGTACTGGATCAGTCAGTCTTAGCGACAAAAGTGTTTTTGTCCATCTTACAGACAGTCAACAAGTGTCGTCAATGTGACGGGCTTCTTGTGCATCCAGGTGGTCAGCTGCGGCCGTGTTGCCTTCTTCGGTGGTGATTTTCATTTCTCTGAGAGCAATAAACTCTCTCACCTGGCCCATGTCGACAGAGAAACGGCGCCGACGTTTTTGCTCCAGAGGTACCATTTCTGTCATCTCCACTGTACATGTATTGCTCTGAAGAGCCCCGATAAACCCACGTAGCATACCCAGGTCAACAGAATGGTGTTCTCTGATGTTGTGTTCCTGGTTTGCGGTAGCCGTCGCCTGCACACCTTTACCGCATCGCCTGCCAGGGCAAGGAACAGTTGAAGAAATCACTCGTTGCAGCCTGTCATACAAGGGGTTCCCAAGCCCATCCACTGTTCCTCCTAGTGATCGTCTTCTCGCGTACGGCTGCAGTCTCTTGTACCGTGTGTTCTCGTACAGCTGTTCAAACTCGTAAACCATATCCCTTAAGTGTGCTGGTAGGTCAGGTAAGCCATCAGCACCAATGTTGATGTACCTTGGTTGACGAGTTGTAGTGGGAACATTTTCATCATCTAGCGTCTCGTATCCGTGTCTGTAAGTGCTGATGATATCGTTAATCCAGTTAGTAGAGGAAACGGCATAAGGTGTTACTGAACAACTTGTACCTGAAGAAAGAATGATAACATGTTTAAAAATTGTAATTATTGAGTGGATATCATTAATTTTGATAAGACGTGAACCACTGGATCATTATTTTGCCGATACCGTTCCGTTTCCCATTTCTTAGAAATTCTACCCTCCTTCAATTTTGTCGATACGGCGCCCACCCAATCCAATAACGCAAGACAATTTGAACAGGTGATCAGAGAAGTAATTAACAGTGATCATACAGTATTTCTTTGAGAAACATATGTGTATTATCAGAAGTTTACGGAATTATTCATGCAGGTTGCAGAATTCACATATTCTTTCAGTGGCATGATCTAATAAATTGTTCCGGCCTTAGATCCGCTTACATTGGCTGTAAAAGGTCGAAGAGAAATTAAGCAGCGAGTCGAGATATTCCCTGCAGATGCAGAGAATTCATTGTCGTGTTTCGAGTTAACGATACAACGAGTTCATTGTCTTAAGTTCTGAAGGAAAGTTACCTTTTTGACAGTAACTGTTCAATAAAAGTTCTTTGGTGTGATGAGACAGAGCTTTTCAACGCCATTTTAAGCGACCTGCAGACGGAGGTGGGGCAGCAAAGGATGTATAGAAGACGGCTTATTTAGAATAAATAAATAGATGTTCCCGATGTAATAGACCATATTACAGTTTGTTCTGTGACCTGGCCTTTAAATGGCAGCGAGGCTGGAGTTGACCTTGTTTTGATACAGATCTCACTGCTTTGTTGTGTAAATCAAGTTGTTCTAATGCTAACTAGGTGCATTTACATGACGAATGCAGAGAGGTCTGTATCAAAGCAAGGTCACCTCCAGCCTCGCTGCCATGCAAAGGCCAAGTCACCAAGCAGACAACTGTAAAATGGTCTATTGTAAGTACTATATTAGGTACCTTCAGAACTACATCTAAATAATATCAGGGTAAATACCATTTCCATTGTCGGAATTTGACGAAGTCCTCTTCTTTCGGACAAAGTACATCACAAAGAAAACTACTCCAAATACAATGGTGCCGGAGAACACAGAAGCCACGATTATGCTCACTGTAAAATTGGGAGATAAGAAGTGTCAGTGGCTGCTGACGCATGTAGATGCTCTGCATGCAAAAATATATCACTGGGAAATGTCTGTCTGCCGTACAGTGGAACCTTGTTAATCCTACCTTGAACGAACCACTAAATCTGACCGCATTGGTCTAACTATGAATAAGTCAAGATCATTACTTCGACCTCAATTAACGAGAGGTCTAGCGCGCTTAATTTGTGGAAGGAAGGCCAGTCAGATCAAACTGGATCAAACGCCGCCAGAATGTGGAAAACGAAAACTTTACCCTATACTGCTTGGCTCGTACTTTTTACACTCTTACGGCACAATACGACAGTACGTAGTAGTAATCTTCACCTTCTTTTCAGAGGTATATTTGTCCATGAGAATTATGAAATGAAAATGTTGTTTTTTCCCAGTAACACAATCTACTTGGCTGTCCGCCCAATGCATGGCCGAGTTCCATTTGTAAGGAAAATTGGATTTGCTTGTGCTTATAACTACTACCTTTTGCACTATTTGCTGCGCTCGGGTCCACCGTCTCCCTATTAGTTGGGTCTGAAAGACATACGGATCAAAAATAGAAGGCAGTAAATCTGCTATTTTCAGGAACTTTTTTATCTGTTGTCGAGCTTATTTCACTAAAGTAAAATTACAGCAGATAGGAATCTGACAGTAAATCAAACAAATTTGAGCGTAATATGGAGAACTGCCCAAGCAAGCATTGTTCCCCAGGGGATGATATGGAGCCATCATCCCCATTCAGACCCTGATCCAGTGTAAGGTCCACGCGACGGCAACATAGCCAGAGCGAGAAATAACATCTTCGAAAAAAATAATACTGAGGGACTGTTGTCTCTGAATTCTGTTTAATTTAGTCCCCGCTTCTGAATTTTTTTTTTGAAAAAATTAGTTATCTATCAGGAATGTGGTATATTTTCCGTGTCGTTGGTCAGAATTATATAGAAGCTTGAAAAGAGTGTAGCCGGGTTAAAAAAACCATCACAGCACGAATCCTTGATTACTAATCTAATATTTGTATACAACAACATAGACTTTATACTAAAAATGTCCTTTTAAAATACCTGGAAAAGTTCTTGCAAAGTACGCCGGACTCTTAACCCCATTGCCCTTGGCTGTAAAGGCAAGAACCTGAAAACTATAATTTGTGTTTGTTTTCAATCCTTCGATCTTTGAATGGGTTTCTTTTGGTGAAACTAAGCTACTATTGACACGTGATGTATCTTCCACGTCACTGTATAGTACTTTGTACCCGAGCACCTCTCCATTGGTATATTCTGGTGGGACTGGGCTCCAGTCAACCTGAACCGTGTCCGTTCCTTGGCTAAACACCGTTATGTCCTTTGGAGGGTGATCTGGAACTGAAAAAGCCTCAGAATTAGAAGCTGTGTTCAAATATTGCCGAGACATTTAGTGACTATGACTAAACATTGCAGTCATTTATTGACAAATATTCGCCGTCAAATGTAATTTCTGTCGATTGAGGGACGAATTAGTCAGAAATTATTTTTTTCTAACACCACGATGGCATGGAGAGGCTCGCGGGATATCATGGGACTTTTAGGGACTATTTAAGCAGTTGACGGGAGATTTAAGTCATTCTAGGTTAGTCAGTCTTCGTTTTCGTCCTGTTGTTATGTCAGTATAATTGCAAATGTGCGTTACTGATTTTGTACCCTTTCCTTGCGGTCTCGTGCTGCTGCATTATTTGAGGAATACCTTTCCACATACTTTTGGCCACATCCAAGGGTGCGTTCCTTTGGGGTGATCTGGATCAGGATCAGTGATCCAAGATCACTCAGATCATGGTGCATCAAAGGAACCGATAAATTCACTCTGGTCACGGATTCATCGGCTCCTTTGATGCACCATGATCCGAGTCATCTTGGATCACTGATCCTAAAGGGTGTATTATTTTTTTTTTAGTGGTTTTTCGTCTCTGGCCTAGAGTACAGGTTCTAACTGTTAGAACCAGTAGTTGTAATTTGCAAGGATACAGATTATGCTGTACGACGGAATACATCTGTATCAGATGACTGACTGACGCATCCTCAATAAACTATTCACATTGAATGTCTGCTGTTAGAGTAGTCAGAACGTATATCATACCCGACGCGGGTTTTTTTTTTTTTCTTTTTTCATAGAAAAAAAAAACCGCGTCGTAGCTTCGAAGCTTCGTTATTGGCTAAAGCGCTTACAGGGGCCGAAAGGAAATTCAATTCCCCTGAATTCGCATCGAAGGTTGCAATAAAAAGGAGATGGTTTTATATCGTTGGATCATGTATAAAACGTACTGTCCTACTGAGGTTATTGTTTATGAAGTGTCTTACCATCTTCGTCCGTCTGCAACACTTTTGACCGAGTGGGTCCTTGGCCTGGTCTTGTTATTCCAGAAACAGTGACTACGTATTTGCAGTATTTTTGAAGGCCCCTGAGCGTAAGAGATGTCCCTTCTGTGTACTTTGTAGTTTTGTGTCGCTCCCTCGATTGTTCTTCAGCTATAATTTCCACTTTGTATCGTAGTATTTTTCCATTCCGATACCCAGAAGGGATTGGGTCCCACTGGACGTAAAGACTGGTAGAACTCAGATTCCAGGCCTTTAGACTCTGAGGTGGAGCATCGGGCACTGTCAAATTCAAACCAAAGTATTTCTTTACTTCATGGACCTGAGAAAAATATATGGACCACAATTTCGTCCGTGGTTCCTTAACCTCCTCTTTGTTATGTCCGTTAGTCCGTCAATCAGTCACTCAGTAAGTCAGTCAGTCAGTCAGTCAATCAGCTAGTCAGTCCTTCAGTTAGCTAGTCAGTCAGTAGTGACGTCATACAGCCAGATAAAAGTTATTCGACCTCAGTCAGGTTATCAGTCATTCAGGCATCAGTCAATGATCTCGTATGTTCATGAAATGTCTTACTAATGAGGGATCATTGCGTCATCATCGGGACAATGTGGACACCAAATCAAAACTCGATGAGCCATTTCCCAAAGTACCCACCCCTTGGGGGGTTGGGTACTTTGGGAATTTCTGGGTGGGGATGTGCCGCTGGGACCCTGGAACCTTTATATACCCTATCCTAGAGTAAACTGCTTGAAAACCATACCCTTCACAGCGGCACATACCTATATAGCCTATATATGGCAGTGCCCCCCTCCCCCCCCCGGGTATTTACCCTTTTTAGCACCTTATCTCTCGTCACATTTCATACAAAATTTCCCCGTTAAAATTAAACTGTGTTACATATATAGCCACAGCGTATCCCTCCATTTATGATTACATCCAAATTAGCATACCATCTTCGTTAGTTGAAATTACCAGTTCTTCACTCCAATTACCATTTCCAAAGTTGTTGTAAGCTCTCAACCAGCAACTGTAATTGCTAAATTTCTGTAGTCCTTTGAAGACCCAGCTACGTTCTGCAGGTGACAAATGTACGATATGTCTCTCAGACGTGTTAGGTCTTTCACAGGCCACGTGAAATCCAAGCAGTATTCCATTTATCAGAGGCTTTGGAACATCTCCCCAAGTGACGTTTATGCTTGTTGAGCTCGTGTTGTGACCTCGAAAGTTGCTAGGTGGACTTGACGGCGCTAAATGTAAAGTTCAGAAAATATAAATTTATACGTGAATGAGCAGGTCAGTCATGACTGCAGGTGGTAGTTAGCCGGTAATTAGGGTTTAAAGATGCGGAGTGTTTTACTTAGTCATGAGGGAAAGAAGGAATTCATGTCTTGATAATTATTGGAATTCTTGTTGTTGACTTGGAGCGCTTTCCATTCGTCCAAAAATTCGGTGTGAATTTCCAGAAATTGCCGTTGGCGAATGGAACATCACCATCAACAATTTTCGGATTATTCAGACACTTGGCCAAGGATATATCTCCGTACCATTTGCCCTCGTTTCGAAAGTTCCGGAAATTTTGTTTGAATGGAAACCCCCTTGGAATGCCCCTGAAATGTGCGACGCACAAGAAATATATCATTATGCAAACTCTTTTGCCAGCGGTTCTTCTTTGTAACCGTTTTGAGTCCTTATATCTCAAAAAAGTAAGTTATTTTTGTTATTGATGCGATCCCGGCATATCACAGAAAGAAATGCAATTAAAAATGCACGGCTTTCTGATTCCCCTTTAATCTGACACTAAAGTATCTTGCTTCAATCCGAAAAACGCTCTTCGCATGCCAATCATACTTACGCTGTTTGGCACATTTAGGCACATCACAGTACTCCCAACGCACGGTCCTATTCGTGGTCAAACACCACGGCCCATCCATCGCGAACCCTCCTGGATTGCGGCATAAATTGCCGCTATCATGAATCGCTTTGTAAATCCCTCCATTGATATTGTGTTTATGAGGACATTGGGCGTCCCAAGACTGACAGGTGTACCCGGAAACTGTGACGCTTCTGTAGCCACGGTAACCACCTCCATCTCCGTAGAAGCAATCTGCAACGAAAGAATGATTTTGACTACTACGCATTTAGCACAGAGTTAGTTTTAATTAAAATTACAAAACCGAAATACGCAAAAATGTAGCTTGTCTGGCAAATCAAAAAATACTGATCTGTTTGGAACTCTTGCGTTGTTTTGTCCGAAACAAAAGGAACCGCGTAGAGAAAGCGCTCCGAATCAGATTGGCTGCTACTGACAGACTTTTCGTTAATTAACTCTAATTCTTCCGTTTAAACCCTCTTTTACTTTTTTTACAGAATTTGAAAATCATTCTTTCAATTGTCTTGTGCGCCAATCGATCGATATCCGACACAAAAAAAGTGCCAGAAAAGTTGGGAAATTTCATATTGATTGGAGAGAGCAGAGCTTTTAGTGATTGCAAAGGTAAAGCAAGGTGCCTCTGGCTCATTTTCATCAACATACAGTGGTATCTTGATTTCTCCAACCCTCATGTTTTTTTTAAACTCCCGAGAGCTCGAACCAAAAGTCTTTTCCCTCCCCTCGGTCCAACATTGTCATTTTACCTCCGATTTCTCGAACTCTCCGGTTTTTCGACTGAATCAGTTTTCGTTTTTCTTGGAGATTGAAAAATCGGGATTCCACTGAAAAAGACTACGATACATTTATTCAAAAGAGATTTGTGAAGATCATAGGAATAAATAAGTTGGTGCCCGAGGCACATAACTAAACGTTTCGCTTATTACTAAGTTTTACAAGGCAAGAGGTAAACACTGATTCTCCCTTAAGACACTGCATTCTCTTCATTATTAAACATTTATTTCACAGACAATAGCAAAACTTATGTTATTTTCTTGTAGTAATTCGACAAGACTCACCTTCACTCTCCAAAATGTTGAGTTCGTCTAGTAGTAAAATGGTAGAAAAGAGCATATTAACATATGCAATTGTTACTATTTTAATGTTGTTTTAACGAACAGACGGACGGCTCTACGTAATTATTTCATTCATCAAATTAATCGATCAATAAATTTCGCACTTCATGCCTGTAAGACCCTGAGTACTAGACAGTCAAGTACCGAGGTGTTTTTCCCATTACGTTTATCAGTTTCGCCAAATAGAGGGCAGCCTCTAGACCACACGGGGGCTCAGAATAGGGCTCAAGGGTTTGCAAAGCAGTTAGCAGGAAAGCGAAAATGATTGTGGTGGAAAGGGCTAATTGCCAAGAGCAAAGAACTGCCTTATAAACATCTATAAGCCAGGAAAATGGCACGTCAGTGCCAAATTCTCATAGACCTCAAAACTCGAGGGGTACTTTTCTTCTTTGTTGAATTTTGGATCAAATTTGTTACTCCGTTTGGACCCAGCGAGCGAGGAATCTGGGTCATGCGTTGCTCAAAACACCCTACTACTTGGTAATCGGGCACTGCCCTTGCCGACATTGGAAACAAAAAGTATTTTAGGGCTTTTCTCATTTATAATCCCTCTTGGACACCAGTCCCCTCCACTGACCTCTTATCTTGTCAGGATAGTAGCAGTTAGACGATTCATTCCGAAATGGCAAAGTGGTGCAGTCTATGATGTCAAAGAAGTATGGATAATTGAGCCTCGAGCGCCTTCGCGTCGTGTTCGTGAAGTCCTCCACAATCTTGAACTCTCGATCACAGACTTTAAAAAACAATTGCTCGCACGTTTCTCTGCAAATAAAAGGTGGGCTGGAAGACATGTAGCAGCGCTTAAAATAATGATGACAATACACGTCATCCACCATATCCAGACAGCTTTGCCGTACAACGTAAGAACTGTCGTTGAAAACTACTTCCCCGTTCTTCCCTCGTGACTGTTCTACGAAGCTCTTCGCTACTTGATAGCGCAACATCTTCATTTCGTTTTCCTCTAGCTCGCGTGAGTCTGTTCCGTAGATCGGTTGATAACCAAGGATATCTTTGCAGTAGCCACGTGGAAATTTGGCTTGGTATGGCAAGCACAGCCCCAGATTTGAGTGGACGGCGGACTGTTTAGTACTGTCAGCAGGCACGCATCTGAGGAAAGTAAGAATATTTCAATTTGCATCATTTCAAGAAATAAACAGGATAACGTAAGCTTGCTAGACAGCTCCAGGGGTTCGTTCAGGGTTCCTCCTATTTTTTCCAAGTGCCCGCCTAAGTCTACTACATAGATTTCTTCAGCGTGCTGTTAAGTTCGGTTATTTGATGCAGGTTCCATCCATAACTGAAATGACTGATACCAGCAATAGTCGCCTCATGGAATAAAGTCGTGAAAAACCTCACAGGGCCACTGCATAACCTGTTGTCTTCTATCCACAAACGGCAAACCCGTGTGATAGGCCATAACTTCGATCGTTTCTCTGCTTGTTATGACAGAACGTTTTAAAAGAATTTTTGGAAATAGACACTTCTTTCGGCTGAGGCCCGGTTCATACGCCGTACTTCACATAAGCCGAATCGAATTCGAATTTGGGCCGACCCGAATTAATTTAGACCGGCTGAATTGATTCAGACGCCGATCTCAATTCCAGCTGGACTCAAATTCAATAGGAGATAACAGTGCGGCATTTCAATCAGTGCTGATACTTGCTGGACATGTAAACAACAACCAAGCACGATCCAAAGGGTAGGTGGAGGTTTCGCACCTAAGCGGCGAGTTCGCATCCACATCGACCTCGACTAGATATCATGCAAGCACTTAAAACTTATCTTTCTCTTACCGAGCAAAAAAGAAAAAAGACAACATTGAAACAAAATCGCACAAAACATATTTATTTCGCGTTCTTTCATCCATTGAGGAGTGAAGGTGAACTCGAAATAGAAGGTTTATAATGAGTTCAGGGGTGCGAACTCGGTGGGTGCTAACTTATATTAACTGGGTGCGAAACAGAAAGCATTCATCCAAAGCCGTCCTGTGAAAAATATAAGAAAAGTCGGCAAAAAGGAGCATAATGAGGCAAACTGCATTAATCTATTTACATGTAGCTGCTAGAAGACAACTGATAATTTGGTTCAGATGTCGCACTTCACGTGAACTTCATTCGACTTCCAACCTTTTTGTATGCCATGAAATACATCACAGCTTTGGCAAAAAACCCAACTGCAATATTCAGGTTAATTTACAAATACAATGTTCACACGTAATTCAAACACAAACACGAAAACAGTGATGAATGCATTGTAATTTTGATGCAGTTTACCAAGGTGGCAGAAAGTTGGCACTCAAAAACAGGAAAACACAAACCGCACATATCAGCGTCTTCTTTGACGAGTGAAATCCGCCATTTCAGTTTGAACCCCTGACGCACACTGTATATTTTTGCGCAAACCCAGGTCTTCAAAATACATTCAAAATACATTAAAAAGGCATGAAAATAATTTATGTATTTGGTTCTGCTCATGTGAAGTTCGGCGTCTGAATCAAAGCCGGTTCACAGCCGTTATTCCCGGCTCAGTCAGGCGTGAAGAACGGCTGAGCCTATCCGAATTCAATCGGCCGTTTCGAATAGGCCATTTTACAGTTGTCTGCTCAGTGACCTGGCCTTTGTATGGCACCGAGGCTAGAGTTGACCTTGTTTTGATACAGACCTCACTGCTTTTGTTGTGTAAAACAAGTTGTTCTGATGCTAACTAGGTNCAGGCAACTGTAAAATGGTCTATTGATTCAGCGGCCCTACTTCACTTGCACTTAATTCTTTGAATTCGATTCGGCGAAGTACGACGTATGAACCGGACCTGAATTTAATTTGTTCACTGTCAAGTGAAATATACGCGACCTGTTTTAATTCAGGAGTACTTCAATTTACCAATGCACTGATCACTTGCTCAGTGTGTTACCACGCCCTCTTATCACTTAGTAACAAGTAGACCATTGCTGCTTGTTTGAGAACATGCTCTGGGCTGGCGGCAACAAAAAACTTAACGTTAACTACTGTTAAGTCGGTTATCCGACAATAAGTAACTATGTATTTGAACTGCTGTCTACAAAGACTAACAGTAGATGATTTCAAAGGTAAACGGTGTTCGTTAAAATTGCCATAAGTTTGATAGTGTTTGTTCATCAGAACAATTTAAAACGCGACTGATTATTAACGTGAAGATAAGAATAAAACTCACCCAATTGTGACATTTGAGCTTGGAAATGTAGCATTTGAGGCTCCTGAAAAGAGATAAGCCATATTTAAGAGGCGTACATGTAATTAATTGGACATTTTAAAGAACTTCTAGCGTGAACTATCGCTGTAGATTTTACGATTCTCGTCGAAGCTTAAAATTAATCATTTGTCCTGTGTGTTTTGACCGCGACTTATCCGTTTCCGCGTGAAATATTTGTATGGTCGCGTCTAAGTCTTCCCCACCCCTCCCCCAAGAAAGCGGAGATTTCAGAAAGTGATGCACACACCTCAACCCTAATTTTTGGGGAGTACAGTAGCTTGCAGTCAAAACATTTTCTAACTAATCCACTCTCAGGAAAATGTTGACAACCAGAACTGGTTTTATCCGGCACACCGTTGTTTCTAGCTTGGAGCAATTCGCTACAGGATTTTTCTTGAGTAGAAGAGATTGTCATTATCTGTAATACATAGATTTAGGCCAACCTAAAAGCGTAGCTCCTGGGCCGGGTTGTTCAAAGCCCGATTAAACTAACCCATGAAAAGGTAGAATTTTAATTTGAGTTTTGTAACTTTGCGGTGAGGTTTTCTGTTTATTATTTGGCCTTTAACACAAGACAAAAGCAGTGAAAACGGTTAACTTTTAATCCTGGGGTAACGTTAACCGGCTTCCAAACAAGCCGGCCCTGTTTTAGACAAGTTAACCTGACATGAACCCGCGATCCAATCAAAAACCAGTACTTGGTCAGCGGTAAACTTAAAAAATACGTGACCTCGATGAGCTCTAAACGTGAGCCCGCGATATGGTCAAGTGATGCTGGTCAGCGGATGCCTTTTCTTGACAGGTGTCAGTTGGTCATAACACGGAACAACACCTTAAACCAAGGCTGCACGTCTCTGTCAATCTATCATTTGGAGTATGGCCGCCATCTTGCGCGACTCCGTCGTCGTTCGAACGCGCCCACGAGCAATACCGCTAGCCACGATAACCATGAGAAAATCCATTCATGGGTTTCCTTTTCTTTCCTATATGAGTACGGGGCTCCGCTTAGCGGCCCTTGGGCCGCCGGAGCTCCGCTAATATTAGATTTAGGCCAGCCTAAAAGTGTAGCTCCAGAATTTTGATCTGAGTTTTCTAACTTTGCGGTAAGGTTTTCTGTATATTGTTTGGCCTTCTGTTTTGAGTTTTAATAATCACCATATACACAAAACAAAGCAACAAAAAACATTTGTATAGAAGAAAAAGTTATAATTTATTCAGTTAACTTTTAATCCTGAACTAGCGTTAACCGGCTTCCGAACAATCCTGCCCCATTTTCAACAAGTTAACCTGACATGAGCCCGCGATCCGATCGAAAACCAGCACTTGGTCAACGGTCCACTTAAAAAAAGACACGTGACTTCGATGAACTGCAAACTTGAGCCCGCGATATGGTCACGTGATACTGGTCAGCGGATAACTTGATTTGACAGGTGTCAATTGATCATAACATGGATGTCCAATATTAAAGAAGTACACGGTAAGCTAAGGCTGCATGTCTCTGTCAACTTATTATTTGGAGTATGGCGCCATGTTGCGCGACTCCGTCGTCGCCGTCGTGCGTACGCGCCCACGAGCACTACCGCTAACGATGATAACCATGAGAAAATCAACTCATGGGTTTCCTTTTCTTTCATATATGAGTATGGGGCTCCGCTTGACGGTCCTTCGGGCCGCAGGAGCTCCGCTATTTGACTACAGTTGACCTGTTTCCCATAGAAGCCTTCGATGTTTTACCACAGGTAGCCTAAACTCGCGAGTAAGTCTGAATCGTTTTGACGTAACATAATTCGTAAAGGTTCAAACTAATTAATAATTCATCAAGTTTAAACAACGGAAATTTGTTTTTGAGGATTTTATTTCTCCGTTTTCTCTTTAGTTTTTGTTTCGATTGAGAAGATATGTCAAACACTCAAGAGGGTGTTTGACCACATTTCCAAACATCTCGAAGTTCGTGAAAAATACTCCGCTACGCGTCGTATTTTCAACTCTCTTCTCGGTGTCTGAAAATGTGGTGAAACAGAGTATACAACGTCAAAAATAGTAATAAAAGTACAGTAGAATTTCTTGTCTTGTCTCCTTGTTTTACTTAGTGCGTGTTCATGACGTTTTTGGCTATTTTAAACCGATTCCAGCATCATAACGAAAACTTTTTGAGCTCCAAATAAGCGATCGCTAAAGATAATTGAGAAAGCCGACTGTCTCGAACCTCTCTTACTTTCGGAATCTGTCGTTAGCCCGATGATCAATTGTTGACGTCGATTAAGAGTTAAAATTAAGACTTCTTATCTCAAAAACGTTCAACGGAGGTATACATTTATGAAATGTCCATTTTTAGTCTTTCCCGTGTTTCCGAAGAAAACAAACGCTGTATATTTTTCAACAATATTTGTTGAATTGATATTGCTTTCAATATTTCATCTAAAACAGACTTTCAATCTGTTAATAAAACCCTCTGGGAAATGATGTTTAAAAAGTGATTTTCGCAGTGAGAGTTTAATACGTGGAATTGAAAGTTAATCAAGCAAGGTTTTCATTTCTCTTCTTCAAAAGTGTTAATTTTTGGTTTTGTCTGAAGTCAAACCTGATGGATACTGAATATCGATAAACTGAATTCCTCACTGAAAGTTACGAAACTAAGCCCAAAGTTCGCGCTTATCCTCTTCAAGGAAACCAACCAAAATCATGGAGTTTTTAATCTAATCTTTTTTATCAGCTTCCTCTGTAAAGAAGTGGATTTGGATGTGAAGAATATACCGAATAATCTATTCTCAGCTTGTATTGGACAGCATTACTTTTCTGAATGTAAAATGCACTTCGGGGCTCCTCACAATATAGCGAACATGTTTTTCATACACTACATGGTATAGCAAGAGCCGAAATTTCTTACAGGCAGTAGGTGATAATAAGTTTCAGTCATCGCCGCTACTTCCTTCTCTCGCCTTCTTCCGTGGCTTTTGTCGGCATTCCTTCACTCTCATTCAAGATGCAAATTTATGCGTTTTCTAAATGAGTCATTATGTGTACGTGTCGTCTCATTCTTTGATTTTTGTCTGAGTTGTCTGAAATTAAAAACTAAACTTTGATGGCTCATTTGTGTAAAATTCTTGTCAGTATAGTATCTCAATACTGCATGTCCACATTGCGGACCTATGTTCGGTGGCATTTCCTGAACAACCGGGTACTTGATACGGCTAAAATTTGATCGCCGTTACGCGTTAGGTCGTTTCCAGACTGTGCCAACTTTCCTCTTGCTATTATTAGGCAAAATAATAAAAGATTTGAGAAAATGTTTGAACATGAAGTTTTCAATTGAAACCTTAACTCGCTATCTTTTTCGGTTGTAAATAAAGTATAGAATAGCTCACGTGAACTGAACTTGAACTTGGTACAAAGGTATGCAAACTAGCTAGAGCTATAAATTGCAATTATGTTCAAACCTGAACAGGCAACGAAGACTACTGCATTAAAAAATACTGTCAAGATCCTCAGCCAATTCATTCCTCCACAAGAGAGTATTCCGCTAACTGTCGAAAGTGAGTCGAAACGTTCAAGCAGCGAGCAGAGCTGGAAAGCCAACCAGGTGTTCACTGAATTAGACTTACGACGTTTCCAGACTTTCCTATATCCGTGTTTTGATGAGAGTGCAATATTGAAATGCGAGCCAGTAAAATTGCGAGTTTAGCAGGTTCCTTCGAAACTGAACAGGAATTGATCGATTGTTCGATGTTGGCCGAGTACAATATAAATCAATCTTCCGCTATAATCAGTTATATGGAGTGAATGTCAGGTCACGTCGCTGCATATATGATATGCTTCTGTAAGAACTTAATCAAACAATGAAGTTTTTCTGATAATTAATAATGGTAATAGGACTGAGTGGAGTCCAATTCGGTCTGTAACCATACGAGTGATTAACAAAATCGGTCGACCGCGAAGCGGGAGTCCGATTTGTTAATCACGAGTATGATTACAGACTAAATTGGATGACGCGAAGCCCTGTTACCAATTAATCAAAACTATGACAAAATTCGAGAAACGAACAAACCAGCGATTGAGCGCTGAACGATTTTAAAACGTCGTTATGAATGCTGAAAAACACAGCAGTTTATTCAACAAAGTGTACCGCAACAGCGCGCTCAAAATGACGCGTACTGTCCAATTACAAGCATAACCCGTACACTGTCCAATTAATGCTCAAATCGGGCTGCTGATAGCCAATCACGTTCGAGAATTTTGTTTTAGTTTTGATTAACAGAGTAATCCTATCAGATCTGGTCACATTGTCACCATGCATGGCCGTAAATTTATCCAAAATTCTTTAAAACGTTTTGGTGTCGATCAGGTCTTACATACATTTCCGATCAAATATTGAACATCAAAATGACAAGCCACTGACGTCAATCGAAACTTTGAACAGAACGTCAGGGTATATCAAAATGTCTAGCGTCATTGACAGTTTTTCAGTTGCAAATTCAGAGAATGTGAAATTAAACCTTGTGATTAGTTGTTTTCAGATTTGTTTGGTGTAGAGAAGTGTCAGTTTCCGGGTTAGTTTCTATTGTTCCAGTTTAAGATTTTGGAATAGCGTGTTGCAGAAAAGAGTAATATAAATCACTCAGTTCACGGCACACTTCCTGTTTGAGCTCAAAGTTCACTGGGTTGATCTTACTGTCTGACCATTGACAATCGGTGCGATTGAGGAGAACGGGTACAGGACGTATATATACAGTGATGATCAGTTATGAAAAGTACTTTTGCCCTTCGACAACTTCTTAATTTTAAAAATATATAATATTTATATTCTCAAGGGCGTATCATTTCAAACCTAATCGCTCGACAAAAATTGTATAAATTCAAATAGAAAAGAAACGAAAGGAAAAAAAGAAAACCCCTGTCTAACTTACATGTAATTACGTACAAACCATATACTAAATAAGTTTGAAGCTTAGTTTTAAACAGTCCACAAGCACACTGTGCGTTTTGTTAGTATCTCATCCTCTGACATGTTTGACATATTTCTGTAGGCGCAAAAAGGACATGGACTAGGTGACTATTAGCAAGCGAGAGCGTCCAGTTTTTTCTGCTCTGTTCGGCTAGGTGATATATTTAACCATGAATTAATAATCATGGTATGAACCTTTGTCGGGCTATGTTGACTTCCGAATGAACGCAGGAACAGGTAACGTGGAAAATGACGGTTGTAAGAAAGTAAGTGCCTGTCTGTTAATTTTTCAATCGCAGTATATTGCGCAATATAATTTCCCCACCCTCTCCCCGCCTCCGCAGCAACCCATATGTTAAATTTTGCCAGAAAAAGATAACAAAATGCTGAACTTATACTTGCCTTTTTGATATAATCTTTTTGACCACTGGGCCAGGCCAACACCGTCTTGGCCAGGCGTAGTTACCAACTATGATCAACTATAAATCGGGCACGGCAAACCCTGTTGTGACTCTTGTATTGGCAGAAGGCGACCTTTCAGTATTGCTGACTGGAAGAAACTTTCTGTTACTTGGGGGACTCCCGAAATTAGCTTAAAACTTCCTGTTTATATTTTACAACCGCAAAATTTTCCGTTTTGTCCAAAGGCATTCAACCGAAGATGTTCGTCAAATTGTTCGTCAAATCAGGAGCCCATCAAATATATTGACAGAAGGCGACCTTTCAGTATTGCTGACTGGGAGAAATTCTGTTATTAGGGGACTCCCGAAATTAGTTTAAGACTACCTGGTTATATTTTACAACCGCAAAATTTGTCCTTTTATCCAAAGGAATTCAACCGAAGATGTTCGTCAAATTTCGGACGCAATCGCATCTCGTCGACTTTTTTCGGGGAGGAGCGTGGGCTCCTCTTCTGAACAGCGGCTGATAATCGAGCTGCATCGGTGATGGTCATTAGCACCTTCGTTCCCTTGGGACCAAAAGCAATATTTGAACTGTTGTGCATGGAGTTGAATAGCAACCGGCGATTTTAGCCAAATGAACCATGAACAATACCGTCTGTAAGTATGGCAACAGCAAAAATGGCGGTCCCAGTTCATTACGTAGCAGTTAAACCTTCTTTATGTGCGGTGTATTCACAGAATTGGCAAATTCCCAACCCAGCCACTTCGATAACTCAAAGAAATTTCTTCCACAGGTCTTGCGTCCGTTGCCGTGCATCAAAAACTGATTTCTTTGTTTTTTGAACTTTGAATTGATTTCTCGTGTCCTTTGCAGCGGCCGCAGTTTAAACAAAGATTGGATACGGGGTAAAGTGAAACATATTCCACATAGCTATCGCCAAAACTCAACGGAGAAAGCAAAAACGAAAGTGAGTATTTCATAATCTCTGTTGTTGTTTAAAATTTTGGAATTTACCCTTGATTTATTCCGAGATTACATAAGGCGTAGTTTCAAGTGGTTTGCTCAGATCCTAAATCTGTTCATGTTATCTCTCCCAGAGGTTTTGATATTTTGATTTGTGTATAAATTTGCAGAATGTTCGAGCCAAAAGTGCGTCACCTCTTCGAAGTGCCTCTGCGGACATGTTTCTCGAATCAAGCGATGATGAAAATGATGGTAAGCAAATTCAGATCAGCTGTCATATAATATTCGCGGTACTTTCGTGATCTTTATTGCTTTTGAAATCATTAAATATGAAGGACTTAAATCACAGTTATTGACCGCTATGAGTATTATATAATCCCGTTAATTACTTGAGTTTACATTGAAATCCATCTTTCGGACGGGCATTGTTCTGTAATCTAATCGAGCCATAAACATCCCATATTTCAAAGAAAAAGCAATATATGTAGTGTACGCTTGCTCATAACATGTTTTTAGGTGTATTTTGGATACTTGTTTGAATGCAGGGGGATAAAATTTGCAAAGATGGAAAAAGTGAAGAGGGAAGGAGGGCGGTGAAGGGAGGGTAACCCGAAAACACTGACCCCCGGTCCACGGACCCCCACAACGAACCGGGTCCGCAGACTACCTATGGACCGGTCCACGGACTCCCACTACGGACCCCCTCTACGGACCACCCCCCAAAATATAATAAAAATGGTAAATTAAAAAATATTTCAGTTACGGGTTGTCTAGTAGATTACTCGTGACGGCGAAATTTCGAACATTACGTTGTGCAAATGTAAACAGACCTGGATTCAGGCTCGGGTGTAATTTATATCATTACACATTGCCATTTCCTTTGCTGTGGCCATAAAGTATACGAAAGACG